TTTACGACAACGATCGGCCAGTCCATCGCGCTGCTCTGGAATCATTCACGCGCGTATTCCCGACCGACGAGAAGAGGAACGGTGTATGGAAAGTCTATCAGTCCTCCATTCTGGATTTCGTAGATGATGTCATTCTCCAACAGACTCCTCAGACGTTGAGCGATGAGAGGACGGTGAAGGCAGATGACGCCACAGCCAAATATGCACGAGTGGCTGGAACCGCGCTCTTGCTGTTCAACAGGATACTCGGTACCAATATTCTTTTGTGATTCATTTAGACTTCATCTGACGGTCTTCAATGCAGGAACCTCCGCACAAGAAGACCTTGACAAGGCAACCCCCACGATAGAGACACTTCTGGGAAGTAAGTCCCTGTGGGCTCTATCGTATCATGAGGATGCTTTCGTGCGCCGGTCACTCTATGTTCTTGCGCGCACTGCAGTCTCCAGGCAGCCGGAGGAACTGGATTGGAAACTCATCAGTGCTGCTCTGATTGGCAAGTCACTGCACTGTAGCCAATTGGGCTCCGCATCGGAACTCTCCGAGACTATCCTGCATGTAACCTCCGCAAGGCCTCAATTGTGGACTGAAGATTACTCCGGAAAGTCCTCGTCCTCTAAGAGACTGCTCCAGTATCTTCAGAAAGGTTCTCAGGGTGGCGCAAGCTCCTTCTGGACCAACTTTTACGAGCTACTGCAGATCATTCCAATCAAGACTCTTGCACACGTTGATTCGAAATTAACCGTTGAGAACAACGTCGGAATGGCAAGTGCCCGTGCTCTGACAGAGTCGTTCCAAGAGGGACTTAACTCCAGAGATGAGCCTCGGCAAAACCGAGCTGTTGGCTGGAAAGCTTACATCGATACTGTGATGTGGCTTGCAGGTCGGCTTGGTCAGGATGAGGGAACGAACCTGCTGCGGGAGAGGCTCCGACCTTTGATTGTACAATATGTGAAACCCGAGTCAGACCAGGCTCAATGGGGTTTACCTCCTCAGTCAGCAGAGCCTATCTGCACGGATGCCCTTTTTGCGCTGACCACGCTAGGCTACAAGCATGTATTGAAGCAAACGTGGAGAGAGCTGTCAGACAGCTTGCTCGAAGCTGTCAAGTTGTCATCTCCGGAACAATCGAAGGACTTCAAACCCTCCCAAGACGCTGTTTGCGCACAAGCAGAGCGTTTTCTCGCTTTGGAAGCCTCTTTACTTTCCCGAGTAAAAGATACGGACCATGAAGCCGAGGTTTCAGATGTATTCAATGCTACTAACCTCCCGTTGCTCGATAGTTGCTTGGAGGTTTTGCGCTCGAGGAATGGCAAGCCCTATGGAGCGGCTGCTGTTGTTGAACAAACTGTACTCAAGGTTGCGCCGATTGCCAAAGCCTCGCAGTCACTGTTGAGCTTTGTCCAAGATGACGCACCAGAGCTCTTGTCTTCACCTTCTGCTGACAGACTTATCTCAATCATCCTGTCCTGCCGATCCTGGGATGGATTTGGCCCCAGCTTCGAGAAAGTTTTAGAGAGAGTTGCCCAGTTCGACCCGGAGACTTCGAATGCTCACACTGTACAAAAGCTACTTTCCACCCTCGATTTCCAAGAATTGGACGAAAAGAGTGGACTCATCTCTCTGATTATGCGAGCCCTTGAAAGGGCCTGCAACGGGAGTGATTTGCACTGGTCAATTGTGATCGCAGTGCTTCAGAACGAAACCTCCCACAGAGGACTGTCAGACACGATTTTCCTGGCAATCATCGACGCCTTGTCTGATGATACCAAGGTTTTTGATACCTTGCATGGCCTCTCTCAAGTCGCGCGGGCTGTTCCTCTGGCATTCAAAACTTTCCAGAATGGCCCCCACGGCTCGAAACTAACTGGAAAGCTACTCTATCTTACTGAGTCTTCATCGGAAGATGTTTCAAGCGTAGCAGAATCGTTGGCCAAGACCTTGAAGGAGTCGATCGTTAGTGAGACGAGTGCGAACAAATCCAGCTATGAGATTCTACAGCACAGTTTTGACAATGTCAATGATCAATCGCTGTCGTGAGTGTCAACCAAGAAAGGGAAAAAGAGAACGATCAGAATTAACTGTTTCTAGGGTTGAGTCACTTGTCAATATCGCCGAAGAACTGCTGCGCAATGCCAAGGCAGAAGAGGTTGGAAAGATCGCAAAGGATATTCTGCCTTCTCACGATTCCTGGGCGAAAGCTCTGGGCCCATTCCTCGAACTCCCTCCGAGACCTTCAACTGCCATCACAAGCCCACTCTGTGGTACCGTGCATCTCGTCAATCGTGATTTGTCGGACACACTACCTCAACGCTATGAAAGCCTCCCTCGGGATTCGAACAATTCCTCTTCAGCATTCCGATTGGCTTATTTTACTGTTAGAATCCTTTCTTCTTTCGACTTGGTACAAAACCTGGACAAGGCTGAGGTGGAGACATTGTTCTACAACATCCCCCTGGCACTGCAGCTCATTGACGATGACTTGAGTATCGAGAACTGTAATGGCATCAGCGGGATCTCGCTTCCTGAGCAAAGGGATGAGTATATGGATGTTGTCAGCGACGGTTGGAAGGTTGTCAGTGGCTGGGCTCGATCCCACGAAAAGGGTGCAGCCGAGGCCGAGGCGACCATTTCCTCTATGCTCTCTGCATTCTGGAAAGACCAGCTCGAAGGGTTAGAAGGTCTTGCTCCACTAGACTATCGTATCGGAGTCGTTTTTGTGAAGATCATGGACGCCGCCGACTCTTCCAACAGCGTCAGATCGTCGGAAGAGGTGACTCAGCTTTGCAGGGATATGCGCAAAGCGAATGCCATCCGCTCGGCTGCTTGGGTAGCTACGTTGCGCCATGCCATTCTATCGAATCCTGCGGGTACGCGGCTGTGCAACGAGTTTGTCGCAGACTCTACTGGATTGAAACCTCAGGATGAGAACAAAGACGGTCAGTACGGGCTTCTCATATGTCTTGACTATGCTGATTATTATCAGGGTTGCGGAAGCTGGTTCTCCTTAATCTCCTGCTTGCTGGGGACCAGGACGTCGCGGCGTCCATACCAACCCAGCGTCTGATGTTCCTGATCAAGCATCTCACCCAATGCCTTCGATCTGATGCTGTATCCCTTTGCCTCAAGGCCGAGATTCTTCAGAACCTTGTATTCGTACTCCCATGCGTTCAAGAGATGTACGGCTCTCACTGGGAAGATTGCTTGGAGATACTCGACGCGACCTGGAAGAGCACTAGTGGTAGCGACGACGCTCTCCCCGTGCTCTTGTCATCTTACAGACTCTTCGCTAAATTACAATCAATCGTCAGTGACGAAGAGAGTAACGATGATGTGAAGGATGCGTGGTCGGATCGGAAATCGAAGCTATTCAACAGCTTGACCTCGACTTTGCGAAAGTTTGGTAAGTCTGTCACTTTTTGCATTTGGGAGCATTGTTAATGATCGTCATATAGATTCGTCCACGACCTTTGATCAACCCCGGGACATCACAGTTGAACTGCTCTGTCGGTTTGTCAAAACCATTCCGGTCGAGAATCTAGAGGAAGTTAGCAGTATCTTCTCGCTTCTGACGGCGCAGAGCCGAGCTATACAACGAACTGCCTACAATCTGCTGCACCGGTACATTCCCAGCGTGCAGGAACAGATTTCTTTCGACGTGGCTTTGTCGAAGACGACAGTCCGACTACCCGACGAACTCGTGTCTCTTCTGCTTGGCGCACCGACTATGGATTCGATCAGTAGATCTGATGGCGATGAGAGGACCTGGGCTGAGCTCCGGTCCTATCTACTGAGTTGGAAGATAGTCTTCGATCACTTTGTCAACGCGGTACGTCTCCATCCGAATACATTACTCATAGCAGGCAGCATCTGACTGATTCAATTAGTCTCTCACTGTCCAAGAGAACTATGTTGCTAGTATCCGAGAGAATGAGAGTCTGGACTCATTGCTGGAGCTCACGTTCGACTTTCTCCAACAGTCCCACGGCAAGATGATCGATGCGTCCAAGTTTGACATCCGCTCCTTTGAACCCGATCAGTCCGAGACCCCTGAGAAGGAGATCCAATGGCTTCTTGTCCACTTGTACTTCCTGTGCCTGAAGCATTTGGCCAACATGACCAAAGGATGGTGGATTGACACCAAGAAGCGCATCAAGGGGCCAGTAGAAGCCTGGACCGAGAAATACGTATGTCTTGCCGAATGCAATCATGCACGAGATACTGACCCACCCTTCTAGATCTCTCCATTGGTCATCGAAGAGTCATTGCAAGGAGTCTCTGAGTGGAGTCTGACCCAAGATCCCAACGAAGAGCGAGCGCTGCAGGTGAGGATAGCGCCGAAGACGGCGGAGATCATCGCCAGCATCCCGGTCGACGAGGATTCGCCGCCAGTCTCACTGTCAATCTCTCTGCCATCTGCCTACCCGCTTCAGCCCGCATTGGTCGTCGGGCGGAGTCGGGTACTGGTGGACGAGAGGAAGTGGAAGAACTGGCTGACGACGATTCAGGGTGTCATCATGTTTGCCAATGGCAACATGGTGGATGGACTGCTAGCCTTCCGGAAGAACGTGCAGGGAGCCCTCAAGGGCCAGAGCGAGTGTGCGATCTGCTACAGTGTCATCTCGACGGACATGCAGACGCCGAACAAGCGCTGCGCGACGTGTAAGAACACGTTCCATTCGGTGTGTCTGTTCCGGTGGTTCAAGAGCAGTAACCAGAGCACGTGTCCGCTGTGCCGGAACAACTTTGTTTATGTCTGAGGGGGTGGTTTGATGGGTGGTTGTATGTACTGTACATAGAGTTGTCTATTGTGATAAAAGTGGTATAGATAGAATTTTACCATTACATGAACAGCCAGCTTCTCCGCACTACGCTGCCTGACAAACCAGGCAGGATTGACTCCGCTTCCGCGGGGACGCAACCGACGCAACCAACAACCGCGGAACCTCGCCCGCTTGTCCCTCCCAAGTTTCCCCTCCCCTCCTTCCACTCCGCTCTCCCCCTCATCTCATGTCGGCGTCACAGATCCCCAATCTCAACACCTTGCGTCGCGGCGGCGGTCGCGGTCGTCTCCGCGGTCGCGGTGGCGGCGAGCTAGGCTCTGAGGCTCCTTCGCGACCAGGAGGCTCCAGCACCAAAGACCGAGTGGTACAAGGCACGGACAATGACGCCAGCGTCTCTCGCCTCAGCGCCGTGAACCTGGGCTACCTCGACGACCCATTCGCATCAGCCTTGACACCTCCCGGCCAAGAAACCCGACGCCTGCCCATCATCAATCGAGGTATGCAACCCTACTACCTACCATTGACCTTTCCACCTCGTCACCCAACTAACAAGCTGTACCTCACACAAAAAAGGCACCTACGTCCGCACCACAACAATCGACCACCTCCTCGCGCAATTCCTCCACCCTTCCCCAGCCCCAACCCATCAACCACACTCCCCTCAAACCCCCACAAGCATTCCAACGCCCCGGCTTCCCCGACCAAAGACCAAACAAATCATCTCCCTCGGCGCCGGCTCCGACACCCGCATCTTCCGCCTCCTGGCCTCCTTGCGCCCGCAAACCCACCCCGAAGAAACAATCATCTACCACGAACTCGACTTCCCCAGCAACACTGCGGCCAAGATCCGGGCCATCCGCGCCGCGCCGCACCTGCAGCGCGCGTTAGGCGACCCGGAGAATGTCACCGTCTCCCCCGCCGCCGACGCCCTGCATACCTCGCACTACCACCTCCACCCGATCGATCTCCGCCAGCTGGCTGCGGTGGCATCATCACCATGCCCCGTGGCGAAGGAGAACCTGCAAACCCTCCTCCCAGGCCTCGACCCCACCCTCCCGACGGTGTTGATCTCCGAATGCTGTCTGATCTACCTGGAGCCCGAGGAGGCCCGCCGGGTGGTCGAGCTCTTTGTCCAGGTCTTTGATGCGCCCGCTGTTGAAGGACAAGCTGGCGCTGAGGCTGGCGCAGCAGCGCTGGGCATCATCGTCTACGAACCGATCCGGCCGGACGACGCGTTCGGGCGCACGATGGTGGCCAACCTGGCGACGCGCGGCATCCAGCTGCAGACGCTGCACCGGTACGCGAGCCTGGCGGCGCAGCGGGCGCGGCTGCGGGCGCACGGGTTCGGGGACGGGCAGGCGGCGGCGGATGTGGATTTCCTGTGGGAGCGGTGGGTGGCGGCGGCGGAGAAGGAGCGGGTCGCCGGGTTGGAGATGCTGGATGAGATGGAGGAGTGGCGGTTGTTGGCGCGGCATTATTGCGTGGCGTGGGGGTGGAGGGAGGGTTTGGCGGGGGGCCAGCCAGTGTTCGAGGGGTGGAGGGCGTTGGAGGGGCAGGGTGAGGATTAATCCTTCCGAGGGGGTTGTCTTTCTCTAGCCCAAGTGGATGGTGGTTACCTAGGTATATGAAGCTTAGGCTGAGGTGCAGGGCTTGTGTGGTGTTTGCCTGGGGGGATGCCACCGCATTATCCGTTCAAGCTTGACGATACCTCTCTCCCTGTCTAGCTGCATGATGTGACCAGGTCGCGTTACTAAACTCAATCCACGATGTACAGTACTATCATATATCGCAGCTATATATAACACCAATCCACATTTTTTTTTTTTTTTTTTTTTTTTTTTTTTTTTTTTTTTTTTTTTTTTTTTTTTTTTTTTTTTTTTTTTTTTTTTTTTTTTTCCCCCCCCCCCCCCCCCCCCCCAAAATGCTAGTCCCAGGACAAGTAACGAACTACAACTTCCCCCTCTCCAAAAACCTAACCGGCAGATCCACAAACCTTGCCCGCAGAAATTCGGCGACGTTCTTCCCCAGGAAATCCACCGTCACCGTCGCGCACACCCCGCGGTCCAACAAATTCCGAAACAGGAAGTGCACCGCTCGGAGATTGGGCAGCTCGAACCTCTCCACCTGCAGCGCGGTAGCGGAGGTATACTGCGGCCCCAGCAGTTCTCGCACCGTCGGCACGGCCAGCACCCGCCGCAGCCACTGGAACTCGTCCGCATGGCGCACCCAGAAGCCGCAGTTGGCGTCGGGGCCCTTGTCGCCGGAGCGGGCGTGGACGATCCAGCCTAGGGGGCCGCGGATGGTTGGGCCGTAGGAGGCATTACTGGACATTGGGGGGGCGGAGGGTAGGTTCGTTTGCGCGGGAGAAGGAGGAGGAGGGGCGATGTCGACGGTTTGCGGCCCAGCAGCACCAGAACCCGTTTTCCAGGGCAGGTGCACGCGGTGCTGGACGGCCGTCTGCGGCAAGAGACAGACGAAGTATTCGAAGATCGGCCGGGGGAAGCCCGGGCGGGTGTCGAGGTGCCAGGTTGCGCCGGGGTAGGCCTGCATGATGTTGTCGGTGATGGGGCGCAGGAAGCGCAGGGGCGCGAGGGCGGCGGCGGTGCGGGCCTGCGCGACGACGCGGAAGGTCACGGTGGCGCTGTCCTGGGTGCGCGGGTCGTCGGCCGCGGACCCCAGGGTCGAGAAGGTTAGGGCTGTGAAGGCGTCGGAGTACGGGGCGAGGACGTGGCGGATCTGCGCCTCTAGCATGCGCGCCTTGGCGGCGATGTCCAGCCCGACGAGGAAATAGCTCGCCTCGGCTTGGAACCCCCCGCGCGCGGAGATGCCCACCTTGGTCGTCGGGGGCGGGGGTGCGGACCGCACGCCGCGCAGGGCCACGCGGTTCGTGCCGAGTTGCTCGAAGGAGATGTCGCCGAGCAGGGCGGTGACGTCCGAGTTGAGGTAGCGGGGCCCCTGGATCTCATACAGCAGCTGCGCCGAGCAGGTGTCGACCGTGACGGCGCCGCCGGTCGCGTAGGTTTGCATCGTGATGATCACTTGCCCCTGCGGGGAGATTTCCGCGATGGGATACCCGATGTTGGTCCATCCGTCGCGGCCGAGGGATTCGAGCATCTTGAAGCCGGTGAAGTTCCCGCCGCAGACATAGTTGCTGCATTCGATCAAGTGACCGGCTACCAGGGCGTTGGCGAGGCGGTCCAGGTCGCTGCGTTGCCAGCCGTGGAACCAGTATGCAGCGCCAATGACGGCAGATGCGTCGGAGACTCGTCCGCAGAGGACGATGTCGGCGTCATTGGCGAGCGCGGCTGCAATCCCCAGTCCCCCGAGGTAGCACTGCGCGAAGATCGGCTCGAAGGGCCACTCGGATAACGGCTGGCCGGTGTAGATGCTCTTGAAGTCGGATTTGCCCGACGAAAGCGCCTCTTGGACGGTCGACAGGACCTGGTCACCCGACACCCAAGCGACCTGCAGCCGAATGTGAGCACATTCCCTCGACGACAGCATCCACTGCAAATAGAGGTAGTAACCTTGAGGTCCAGTCCTTTCGCCTCCACCATCTGCACAACCGCGTCGTGGAGGCCCTCCGTATCGGCGTTCCCTGCATTGACCGCCAGTTTGATCCTGTGCTTGGCAAGGTCCACCAAGGCCGGCTCGAGGGCGAGCAAAAATGACGGCTCGTATGCAGGCGCTGGCGTAGTGCTGGCCGATCCCCGGCCGGGTTGCACCTGTTCATTCCGCGCCCGGATCTGGTCGACTCGCCGGGCTGCCCCAGCGGACATGTTGGCCTCGCTCAAGAAATCGGCGGTGATCACATCCACCGGGTCTCGAGGATGATTGCGTGCAAAGTCCGCTATGGCATAGTGTCGGTCCGAAGCGGAACCTGACGCCCCTGTGGTAACTCAGCGTTGAGCCAAATGGACAGTCTCTCTCATGGCTCACCAGCGATGCGAATGGAACGCGAAGCCATAATCAAGGGAAACCGAAAGTGTTGGTGGTGGTGATTTGATGGTCACAAACTGTAGACGATTCCTTTGGCTGGAAGTGAGCTCCGAGCGATTTATCACAAGAATGTGAGGCGAGACAAAGCAAGGGCGTCTGTGACTGTGGCACCATCTGGGTTGAGCCGAGGAGATTCGGTCGAACGAAGGGCGGGGTTGACAAGGATTCTGGCGGGCACTTCGATCAAATGAAACAAAGAATGAGCGATGATTTACCGAAAAGTCCCGCTACAGGGCAGAAGGCAATTTCCCAGTTACCTGAACCTAATCAACAGTCAAAAGGTCAAAAGCATAACCCACTTTGGAAGTTAAAGCCAGGATCGTGGGCAAGATGATGTCACCCGCAACGTGGTGATGTACTGCGAACCATGGTATATCTACACATATCCGATCCAGTGCATAATCCCCATGGCAATGAACAGCACCAAAACGGTGGTTTTGGCTGTTTCGATATCATCCCGATGGCGACGAGCCCAGTTCCCCAGTTGTGCCACCCCGGTAAACTTGTTGTTATCCTTTACAGCGGTCCAGAGTGCCGGCAGCCCATCAAGACTTCGGTAGTTCCACTCCTTCTGGTAGGCACGCATCTTGTTTGCCTGCACTTGTTTGCCTGCCCAGTGGCCCAGTGTGTCTCGGTCTTTCAGATATGGTTTGGATTCGTTGGTGTCGGGATCAAGCTTCACAGACAGCCGCGGAACTCCATAACCGCATGACGATTGGACCTGTATCCGGCATAAAGGTGACGTTAGCGATGGGCTTCTGTGTCATCCGAATCCCGCACAAGAATGTCTAGACCGTATATTGCAGCCGATTCCGACAGATTCCAGGTTACATGATACCTTGAACTGCAGAGTAAAAAGAGGCAGGAGACCCAACCTTAAACACATCCAGGTGGATGATGGCCCGTGCTCCAACCACGGCCTTGCCTCCCATACGATCGAGATATTGTGGAAACTCAGGCTGGTCCCATTCAATCACCGAACCGTTGCAGAAAAAACGCACGATCCCGGGTGCCGTGTCGAAGGAGCAGAACATGATCGTGATGCGACCATTTTCGCGCACATGGCTGATGGTCTCACTTCCGGACCCGGTCGCATCTATGTAAGCAGCCTCGTTCGGGCCAAGTATGGCCAACGAGGCATCGGGCAGACCTTTGGGGGATAGATTGATATGTCGACCTTGCAGCGGGGCAGAAGCAACAAAGAAGACGCTTTGCCGCAGGACCCAGTCCCGTAGGTCGTCCGAGATAGAGGGATAGAATTTCGGCATGTTGGGACTCCAAATTGAGTATTTGATCAGCTGGACTAACGCTTGAGTTGACACACTTGGGAACGAAGATGGGATGGACGCAGAGATAAAGGGAGGATGGAGATGCTCCGAAGGAATGTGCGGAGCTGTGGTGCAACTCCGTCAGCCGCGCCGCCCTCTTACTGGTACGACAGGGCCTTGCATCTGCCACCCACGGAGTTGTTCGAGTATTCCGGCGGGAATACTGCTCGATAACTTGGATTGTTATTTTGTATGCTGCTTGCTCATTCTGTACAATCTGACACAAATATACCTATTGGCATTCAAAGTCTTTGATGTAGCCTTTGTTTGCGGGTGTAGAGTGTCAGTCCCAGTCATCGCATCATGTCGCATTGCATCCAAACACAAGGTATGGTCCACATTTGACGGTACAAGTTCTGGATTTCAGACAAGATGGATGATGACAAGGATGCAAGATTGTTCTGCTCAGGTAACGAGCACATTACAGTGCATCGAGTCCTCCTATCGTAGCTAGGGCAGCTGTACGGAGTAGCTCAAGCGTTGTCACATGGTAAGTGGAAACTGTGGGTTCAAGGTCAAGAGATGAGCTCGCGCTGAATGCCTTCAACGGTCCAAGGCATCAAAGCTTGATCAGCAACAGCGAGCGATGGTGACAGAAACTGCTCGGTGCTTGATCCCCCATTGTTTTATTTCCTTGCTCACAAGACAATGACATGAATGAACCACGCGCGACCAGGGTCAATATGCCCGGGGTGAATCAACCCGAGGCAGCGATCGGGGCGCCGGGAGAAGGTACCGAGAGGTCGGTCCGGGGAAAAGCCCGTCCCGTGACCAGTTCGATTACTAAACACTCTGGATAGGCCAGAATCATTCGACGCACGGTAAGTGGGGAAAGGGAATTGGCTAGCAGTGGCAAGCTCTGATCTTCAATACGAGCCGGATGACGAAGCACCCTAGTGTTTGGGGATGTCTTCGATAGCTTATCTGTAGATAGATCAGAGTAGTGCCTAATTGTCTACTCTGTACTGTACTTGCTCAGAGCCACGTAGAGGATCTCTATCTTTTGATTCATCTACTAGGTGGGGTTTATGTAGGGACGGAACACGGAGAATGTTGAGTGGTGGTGAAGACGCGGCACGTGTTTGGGTTCTGGAACTCGGCCGACAGGCAAGCCAAGCCTCTTGGTGTGTCAGTTTGAGTGAGTTCGAGGACCATGGTTTGTAGCCAGCTTGGCATTAAGTTGGTTCATGTCTCATTTCTTTCAATCCTTCGGCGGCACTTCGTCATCTGGCAATGGTGTATGTACTGAGTGCTCCGTATAAGTAAGTTCCCTTGACCCGGCTGATCTGCTTGCTCATCATTTATAATTTATATAGTATTCAAATACTGGACCAGGTTGATCTCCTGCAGGATTGAGACAATAGTCTAGTCTAGTCTAGTCCAAATAGCTGCAACTGGCTGACGGAGGGGTTGCCCGGGGTTAAGAATGGCAGACTAATTTAGTGAGAGTCCTGAGTCCTACGGCAAGCGCGAGTTATACCGCATTGAGTGCCATTGACTGGTTGAGACCCCCACCACCGAGGCTAAGCGGGGAGATTCCGCGCCACTTTCACTGTTAGTGACAGCACGGTGGAAAAATAAGCTGCAGGGCAGGGCAGGGCAGAGGGGAGTGGGTAAGCCGGTATCTTTCGGGATTTCTCTAATAGAAAGGTCAAGAAGATCAAGAAGCCCAAGAACAAGGAATACAAAGTTGTAACCTGGTACCTTGCCAGTGGGTGGGTGGTATAACTGCTACCAGTACCAGTACCGAGGGGGATTGAGATGGAGGGTGGGCGAGAGAGATGAGAATCTGCTGCGGAAACCCCGCACGATCTGAAAAACCCACCCACGGAACTGGCAAACCAGCCAGCGAGAAGTTCAGTAACGGAGCAAAGCGGGGCGGGCAAGGCAGGCGTCTCGGGTGGACCATGAAGTAATCCCCTTGGGACTCCCCGGTTCGGTGGACGAAACAGCGATGAGCAATACTAACAGCAGCAATTGTGCTCCTAACAGTTAGTTAACACTGCACCTGCATTAACCGTACTGGGAGAGCTTCGCCCCCCTCTCTCCTCTCCCCTCCCCTTCACCCCCTCCACCCCTCCACCCCTCCTTCGGCGACATCTTTCCCCCCCCCTCCATCATTTCCCCTTTGAATGTTCCTCCGTTCCCTCCGTTCCCTTCCCCACCTCGGCGATCCTAGCTATGGTTCACCAGATCCTTTACTTTATTAACACTGGAGCTTCCCCTCCCCCTCCCCTCATCTTCTCTTCCTCTTCCTCTTCTTCTCCTCTCCATCTCCCCTCTCCTTCCACCTCCTTATCATCTTAATTCACACCATGGCTGATCTTTTCACCACCATCGAGACCCCTCTCGCCAAGTACGAGCAGCCTCTGGGCTTGTATGTGTCTCCCTATTGTGAACTCGTTCTCATGCCTCATCCCCACCACTAACCATCTGCTCTACGATCAGGTTCATCAACAACGAGTGGGTCAAGGGTGTCGAAGGCAAGACCTTTGAGACCATCAACCCCACCAACGAGAAGCCTATTGTCTCCGTTCACGAAGCGACGGAGAAGGATGTCGACATTGCCGTCGCGGCTGCCCGCAAGGCCTTCGAGGGCTCCTGGGGTCATGTCACTCCTCACGACCGTGGCCGCTTCCTGACCAAGCTGGCCGACCTGTTTGAGCGCGATGCGGACATTCTGACCGCCATCGAGGCCCTTGACAACGGCAAGTCGATTTCCATGGCCAAGGGTGATGTTGGCGCTGCTGCCAAGTGCTTGCGCTACTATGGTGGCTGGGCCGACAAGATCCACGGTCAGACCATTGACACAAACAACGAGACCTTCGCCTACACCCGCCACGAGCCCATTGGTGTTTGCGGTCAAATCATCCCCTGGAACTTCCCTCTCCTCATGTGGTCTTGGAAGATCGGCCCCGCTCTGGCCACTGGTAACACCGTCGTCCTCAAGTCGGCCGAGCAGACTCCCCTGTCTGCCCTGTACGCCGCCAAGTTGGTCCTCGAGGCTGGTATTCCCGCTGGTGTGGTCAACGTCATCTCCGGCTTCGGTCGTGTGGCCGGTGCCGCTATCTCCAGCCACATGGACATCGACAAGGTTGCTTTCACTGGCTCTACCCTGGTTGGCCGCACCATCATGCAGGCCGCTGCCAAGAGTAACCTGAAGAAGGTGACGCTTGAGCTGGGTGGCAAGTCCCCCAACATTGTCTTCAATGATGCCGACATTGACAACGCCATCACCTGGGCCAACTTTGGTATCTTCTACAACCACGGTCAGTGCTGCTGCGCCGGTTCCCGTCTCTTGGTTCAGGAGGGTATCTACGACAAGTTCGTCGCTCGCCTGAAGGAGCGTAGTGCTCAGAACAAGGTCGGCAACCCCTTCGAGAAGGACACCTTCCAGGGTCCTCAGGTCTCCAAGCTCCAGTTCGATCGCATCATGGAGTACATCGACCACGGCAAGCAGGCTGGTGCCACCGTTGCCGTTGGTGGTGAGCGCCACGGCAATGAGGGTTACTTCATCCAGCCCACTGTCTTCACTGATGTGACCGAGGACATGAAGATTGTGCAGGAGGAGATCTTCGGCCCCGTTATCACCGTTCAGAAGTTCAAGGACGTTGAGGACGCCATCAAGATTGGTAACAACACTTCCTACGGTAAGTCTTTCACTCCTTTTTATCTTGTACTTTCCATACTGATAGATCCCTGCAGGTCTTGCCGCTGGTATTCACACCAAGGATATCAACACCGCCCTCCGCGTGGCCAACCAGATGCGTGCTGGGTATGTATCCGTCATCTTGCTTGTAATTTCGACCGGTCAATTACTAACCGTGAAAATAGTACCGTCTGGGTCAACAGCTACAACATGCTCGACACTCAAGTGCCGTTCGGTGGTTTCAAGGAGTCCGGTATTGGTCGCGAGCTTGGCTCGTACGCCTTGGAGAACTACACTCAGATCAAGGCGGTGCACTTCCGCCTGACTGATGCTCCTTTCGCTTGAGTGGAGCGGATGAGACTGTGGAGTGACTCGCTACGGTGACGGGTCATTGAAGTTCTAAGCTTTGATTGCACGTAGCCATGACTGGTTCATGTAAAACAATTTCTAGGATACGAATTTACGAGATTTTCACAATTCATGCTTTTTCATCGTCGGCGTATCATGTCATACAGGCGTGCTCCGTAGCTGATTATGCCACGAAGCTTAGGCTACCTAGTCGGATTAGTTTTCTTTGGTAGGAGGTGAGGTAAGGCGGGAGAATCGATGGCAAATGAACGTTCGGGGCAAAATCGACCCGAGTAACGTCGGGGTGAAGATAGCCCGAGCAGTCACCTGCCTCCAGCTGAGCTCCTTTCCTCGTCTCGTCTCGTCTCGAGAAAAGCCTCCTCTTCACCAACCACTGATAGGGCTGTCTGCACCAGGAGAGAGGTCCGCCCCATGCAGCCAAAGCACTCACTCTGAGCTCCATGCATCTACCGTGGCACAAGAACATGGATACACAATGGCATGACTCTCATCCAGTCATGAAGCGAGGCTTCATCTAGACTGATCTGCACTAGAGGCTGGAATCTCTTTCTCCAATTCTTAGCTCACCTTACATGATCCATGTGAGCTTTGTTATCGCGATCAGCTGTTCCTGCGTCAGATCCAGTTCCCATCAGCCCGAATCCGGATTATCCTCAAGACTAGAACAGGGACGATGGAATTGCCTGACACCAGGGTCGTGGACACCGAGGTAAGGTAGCACACAAAAAGCATCAATCTCAGGGGTTCCCTGTTTCTTGTCATCCTATTGGACTTTTGCTGCTGCTGTGAACTGACAAGCTGACAGTGTCTGCTTGGGTTGCTACTTCCTCGTGTCGCACAGTTCCCTGCATTGAAACCCCAAACGGCAACAGTCGCAAAATGCTTGTCCTTCGAGCAAGGGAACAAGCTAGAAATATCATGCCCCGGGCGTATTCGAGAGCCTGGCTTGCACCAAGGCTGATCAGAGTCCAGGCAACCGACCCAAAATGGCGATCTCACCAGATCTTTGCTGCGCCGTCGTCATGGCCCTGCAGAATCTGATCATGATCACACTGCTCACTCGGACACCCAAGGGCTCCTTCATGCGATGGATCTGCTTTCCCTCAATGGTCTACCTGGCCTACCTCGAGGGGGTGCTCAATAACCTAAGCGCGGCGACTTTTATGTTCAAGATGCGAACCGGCGGCCACTCCTTCACTTTCCTCATCCAACTGATAAATCTCCTTTATATCACCGACGTCGACCTTACCACACTGCCCAACCGGTCCAAGGCCGCCTTCCAGCTCCTGCTCACCATCCGGGGCATCGGCACCCCATGGCAGCCCAAGAACATCCCTCCCTTCCCCGCCGTAATGCAAACCAACCCTCCTCCCGGCCGCACGCAGTACGTCGTCCGCCAGCTCGCCATCATCATCTGGCAGGGTCTCTTCCTCCGTCTCCTTGCGCATCCGCGTCTCCACCCGGACCCATCGTTCTACAACCGCGGACGGGAGTTCTCCTATCGACTGGACCAATGGCCCGGCCGGTTGGCCTGCACCTACATTGTCGGGTTGATCCCTTCCTACCTGTTCCTGGATATGATGTACCGCGGCGCGGCCATTCTCTTCGTCGGCTCGGGCGACCATTCTGTATCTCAGTGGCCGCCCTTATTCGGGAGTCTTGCGGATTCCTACACGTGCCGTGGTTTCTGGGGGTATGTCTCTTTCCTATCCGACACCCACAACCTACACCCACACCTTTCCCCTCTGCTCTGACCTTGACCCCTCCTCCTTGTCCTTTGCAGACACAAACCCGAGCATAGACTCGTATCTAACCCTGGCCACCCTCTCAGCAAATTCTGGCACCAATACCTCCGCTGGCCCTTCAGCAGTTTCTCCACCTGCGTCACGACCCGCATTCTCAAATTATCAAGACCCTCCCTCGTCGAGCGCTACCTCAACGTCTTCATCGTCTTCAGTCTCTCCATGATCATGCACATGATCGGTGATATCGTCGCCGGCGTCGAGGGCGGGGCGCACTTCGGCACGGCCCTGTTCTTCCTGTCGCAGATCGTCGCCATCATGTTCGAGGATACGGTGCAGTATGTGTGGCGTACAACGGTTGCGCAGCGGTCTCGCCGTCCGCGCGGACCCGCCCATACTGGACCCGAAGCTAATCAGAAGCAGAAGAATGGAGGTGTGAATGCTGATGCTGATGCTGCTGTCCCCGCTGCTATCACCCGGGATGCTGCGGCTGTCTCCCCGCTCTGGCAGCGCTGCGTCGGCTTCGTCTGGGTGGTGCTCTGGATCGCGGTTTCGTGGTCCTGGTGGTATTATCCCATTATCCGGACCATGATCAAACATGGAGACCTGTCGGCGACGTCGAGTGGCAAGGATGTGGTCCCGGGCTGGGAGCTGCCAATGGTGGTGGGCTTGGTGGCCGGGGGTGCGGTTTTGCTTCGGGTCGTGTTCAAGGCCGAGCCGTGATTGTGAGTGCAGGTGTGGGATTGGCTGGGGTTCAGGGTCATGGGAAAGTGGCCGGCGAAGAGTACCATGGAGATGGATCTATCAGTTTCAGTTGAAGCCAGTGGCCGTCATTTCGCTTATTGTAGCTACGTCACGCCGACAGGCAGACCAAATTGGACGATCTTCGTTTCATTCTTGGAGATGTTCTCAGTGGCACGGTTTCATACTGCATATGAACTACAAGATTTAAGGGAAATCACTGCAACACAGAACTTATGTTAAGAACCAGAGCCAGTACTCATTCCATTCATTAAACCCTCCCAATTTGAAAATGCATGCTCGAAGAAGGATAAAAGACAGACGAAAGAAAATCTCGGTCACCACCCAGAACACCCCCGCACCATCCCAAATAAAACCTGCATGACTCACCCATCCACACGGTTCACAAATAATTATACCACAGCTCGCGTTGCAACTCCTCCAACCGCCGCAGCCCACCAGACACCCGACCCAACGCATCAGTCAAGAAAGCACTCCGCGTGGCGCCGGGCCGAGGCGCCGACCACGTCGTCCAGCCGCGCGACATGGCGCGCTGGAACGTCGTCTCGGCATGGGTATCCGGGCCCAAGGGGGCGAGCTCGACGACCGCCTCCGGGCCCAGGGTCATCAGGTAATAGATCCACTCGTGCAGCATGATCATGCCTTGATTGCGTTTGTCGGAGTCAGGGGGAGGAGGGGGAGAGGACGAGGCGCTGCCGCTGCCGTCGTCGTCGCCGTCGTCGCTACTAATACTAGCGTTGGCGAAGACGCCGAAGCGGCGGGCACGCTCGGTCTCGCCGCGCAGGAAGCCGAACATGTACTTCAGACAGGTCCAGACCTCGTCCATGTCCTGCATGTCGGTCACGGAGAGGCCGCCGGGGGTATTGGTGTTGTTGTTGCCCTCGCCAAAGCCCGGGGGCGGGTCGAACAGGATGCTGCAGACGTCGTTGGGGTCCGGGCAGGGCTGGAACGGGGAGCGCACTTCGCCGCGCAGCCAGCTGACCTGGCCGTCGATGTCGTGATCGCGGCCCGTCTGCATGCCGAACAGGTGGCAGAAGGTCCAGACGCGCCAGATCGCGTTGTCGATCTTGCGGGCCGCGGGGCTGGCCGGCCGCGACAGGGCCGTGTACGAGGCCGAGCGCATCACGGCCCGGCAGTGGGTCATCATCAGGCCCTTCAGCGTGGCGAGCGTGCGGTGGTCGCGGGTGTAGTGGCGGTAGTAGATCGCGGCCGTGAAGGGCTCTTCCTCCGAGGACGATTCCTGCGAGTTGATGTCGCTCATCTGGCGGTGCTCCCAGGCGGCGGGGGATTTGAGGCGGATGGTGTTCTGCATCAGGGGCAGTTCGTGACGCTTGAAGACTTGGTAAGTGGCGCGGTTGACCTGGGCGAAGGCGAAGAGATCGTCCAGATCGTCGATCTGGAGGAGGATTTGCAGGGTCATTTCTTCTAGGCCGGGCTTGGTCAGACTCCAGCGGGTCGGTGGGAATGCTTTGCTTAAGTCGTCCTCAATCTCCGCCATCATCTTGGTGTAGCGTGGGTAGATGCTGGAGGTGTCCGATCGATTTTCGCCGAGGTTGAAAAAGTGTATTGATGGACCGTCGTCCTGCATCGTGGCGTCATCTTCGTAGCCAACATACTCCCAAGCGTCTTCGTCCTCGGCGCCGGTCTTGCGGGTCTTGGAGGTAGGGGCGGGTGAAGCAGGGGTAGGGGGAGGATGGGTCTGAGAGAAGGGTAGTGGAGGTAGAGGACTGGTAGGCGCTGGCGACGGAGGGGGAACAGAATGGGAGTAAGTATGGGTGTTCAAGTGAGGAGGAGGGGGAAGAGCTGGTGAGCTGGGAGGAGGATAAGAATGGGAATGACTGTGAACGTTGAGGCGGGAAGAATCTGGAAAGAAAGAAGGACTGAGCTGCAGAGGTGCAGGAGATGCACAGCGACTTGGTGGTGCTGGTGGCGCAACGTCCAAGCCGAGAAGAGGGTCATTTTGGACTCTTAAGAAGAGGGACCGGAGAAACTTTTGGTTCGCTTCGGCTTGAAGAATCGCGTCCATTGAATACCCATCCTCCAAGAGACTGGCAAGCACATTCTTCATGCGGCTGACCGCATCTTGATATCGCTCTTCGTCCTGTTTCTCAACATTTTGCATCCAATCATGCTGCTGGTCTCCTGACTCTTGTGACTGTTGCGGATTCGTGGACATCCGAACGATGATGGATGCTCTCCGGTCATTCTGAGACTTGGGTTTCTTCAAATTTGAAGATGAAGCTTTAGTGGTGAGAACGCGTCGCACTCCCGCTTTGAGTGTTCGCCATATGGGCTTCTCTTCGCCGTCGTCTTTAGCGGATAGCCTTTGCTCCGATGACTTCTTTGATGGTTGCTTTGAGGGCCCGTCCGAACGGTTTTGAGCTGGTGCGCTAGTATTCGGGCTGTACGGAGGAAAGAGGCCCTTTTCAGAATGGTATGGAGGAAAAAGGCCTGTGGTAGATGAAGCGTCAACGTGCTGTGGCCATGAAGGTTCGTTCGGAAATGCGTCCAATGCCGCAGCGGCGGCCAAGGAGAATTCTGGGTTAAGTGAACGTTGATCGTTAGGTTGCGGCGTGAAAGACCGAGGAGTCAACGGCTGGGGGGTCATTGGTCGGCCCGTCGGAAGCTGAGGGGTCATGGGCCGAGTGTTCAACGGCTGGGGAGTCATAGGTCGCATGTTTAATGGTTGCGGAGTCATCGGCCTGGCCAGTGACGGCTGAGGGGTCATGGGGCGAGGGTTCAGAGGCTGGGGGGTTACTGATCGAGGAGTAAGAGGTTGAGGTGCCATTGATGGCTGTGGCGTTGTCGATCGCGATGGCATAGACCTTGGAGTCATAGGTCTAGGTGTCTGCGGTCGCGAGCTGTAGAGCGGCAGAGACTCTCCAACAGGCGAGCCTGACTGGTATGGGGCATGGATATGTTTCTCTTGTGGGTTGGGAACCGGGGGAAGCGGCTTGTTATACTTCCATTCGGTCGTGGAGGAAGAGCTCATCGTGGGACTCGATCGCGATGTGTATGAAGGACATGGACTGAGCGGTGGTCGATCATACATGCCAGCTCTGGGAATGCTCAGACTCGGCACGGCCAAGCGGTCGGAAGTATCCCAGTTCGTCTCCAATCCTGCCAGAAGAAGCTTGTTGTCAATGTGCTTGGTAGGCATCTTGTTGTGTTGAGTTTGCCCTGCCACGTCGTCGATGTGATCTTCGAGTATATCATTCGGGAGGAAGTATAACGTCGATCGTGATCCGAGACTGTCGGAAGACTTTGAAGCGTAGGGGTTACCGTAGGGCGTGTGGCCAAGAGAAATAGGGATCTCTGAGTACTGCGGTGGGTAAGGGTCCTGTCTATAGTGAGGCATAGCAGGTAGGGCCATGGTGTAGGATCGCCACCCAAGAATTCAGGAGGACCAAAAACAAATAGGCTATATTAAATTGACGGGGACCTGCAGGAGGTGATATACGTCGCCTCCCCCAGACGGGATCCCTCGCCAGAGCCGAATCCGCCCAGTACGCAATCCTTGTTCTCAGCTTTCTCCCATCTCAGCACAGATCTTGGGTCCGTAATGTTTGGACAGGGGCTACAAGTTCCACGGGAGCCATAGAAGCTGGTAAGCCAAGTAATCTAGTACCTGGCTATGACTCGGCGGGAACGATCAACTGACCGGCTGGGATCCAGGCACCGCGAATAGCGAACAAATTGCATCATGACAGGCCGCCTGTCCTTGTTGAACGGGTATGCGCTATGAGAGAATGTGGCAGTGAGCTCGAGAAAGGGAGCATCGCAGTCTCTGAGCTCTCCTGGCGGGCCTGAAGAGACTAGTTCGTCATGGCGTTGGGGCCAAATCGTGTCAGAGTCTGCAAGGCACTCCGTTAAACAACACAACTGGAAGCAATTAGCAAAAGAACATGTTAGATGCAGACTGTCATACCTTTGACTTGATATTTGAGCTCATGTCCATAATTCAATTGATGATGGAAGACGGTTGTCTGGCGATCGGAAACAAAGGGGAGGTTGTCAGAAAGAGGAAGGGAAGAAACGAGGGAAGTTGCTGCTGTTGCGCATCTCCGCCTGCTCCCCCGACACAATCCTTCTAACAACACAACTTTCGCCCCCAGACCTCGTTCGCATCCAATTTCCCATCCAACTGATTCCGAAAAATCCAACAATACTTGCGAAGTTTCTACGAGCATCGCCATGTGGCAATGATCCACCAAAGATGGTGTCTGAAACTGTGTCTGACGTCAGATACTCCTTCCAGAAGCACTCGCGGGGGCTGAAAGTCCCCCTAAGCCGCTCACCTTGGCCACGATATATCGGCCTTATGAGTTTTCGGCCTGTTCAGACCGGTTCGTGCGGCGTGTACTCTCAAGATTCAGGTTATATTACGGAGAGCTTATCATGAAAAACAGATTGTACCCTAACTAAATGGGAAAGAGGTCTGGTTGTCATGAAGTGACACAGTCTTTACGGCCTCGATGATGCAAATATAGCATACTTTTAGTGGTATCTGGCATCATGGAAGAAAGTAAAAGAGTACAGCCCTTCAATTCGAACGCTCCAGGTGCTGATTATACTGGTGGTCAACTCTACAGGGTCTCCAGGCAGAACAAACAGCAGAGTGGATATCTACCACATGGTTGCAACGAGGGTACCCCACTTACAGAATCTTCCCATCTCGTGGCACATATATGATCGGCAGTCGAATGATCTCTGCTTCGAGGTGTTGTCGAATGGCCCCCAACGGGCGATCACGAAAAGTGTTATTGCGCCTTGCACCACGCCCACATGTCTCAGGGAGCCTGAAGCCTGAGCTCGTTGCATGGACAGTCTACCTGAAACGCGGTAGCATAGAGTGTTACGGCTTATGGGGTGCTCAGACGTATCCTCACAAAGAGGCCCCTCTGCCAGAGCGGTCTGAATCTCAATCTGTCAGCGTACAAGCAGGGAGATCATTCTGGGCGAATGGTGAGATTCATAGCGAACATTCCTGGACCAAAGCAATAATATTGTCTATATACTTAAGCCACGTCTATGGTTCATGGGCTCTCGCGACTGTATATCTTCGAGACTTGATTGTGCTCGTTACCCATGCTTGTGGAACAAGCACGGCTGCCTTGATGTTGGCGAGTATTGTCTGTTTTGTTTGTGTGACCGGGGCACAGTTCATCTCCTGTCTGCCCAAATGCGATTCATTGTTGGTATGCAACGTTTCGCGAAGATTAAACACTGAGGCAGCCACCAACTATAACCAAACAAGGTGCTGCTATTGGACACATCGTCTAGCAGCGAAGATGGGGTTGATACTATGTAGTGACTACAATCGAGCCTTCTTATATCTTGAGATGAAGGCACTCTGCATTTGTGACGTATACATATGCTCACACAACTGGGAACTGTGCCATGATCAGTGGATGGTGTGCTTTAAGGGTGAAGTCCTGGGGAAGAGGTCGCATGGGAGCTAGCCGGGAGATCATTTGCATGTGGGCCAATTCTGCAATGAGAGAGGCTCCTCATGAAAGCAGTAAAGTTGACTAATAGCATTATGCTGAATCTCTGATGACATTCACATGTATGAAATACTTATTGGCGACTATACAAGATTGAGAGGAGGAAGTAAGGGCCCAAGAGCCATGCATTTCACAGTATAGGCACGGTGCAAGCATGCATGCCATGGCTCTGAGGTGGATACCCTATTATTAACTTGAGTTCACCTCAGCTACCTCCAGGCTATCATCCAGCTCTACCTCAGATGACCTGATTTCCATGATTGGAAGTTCCTCCCCGTCCCACTGACTCATCCGCCTGCGCATTCAATCAAGCTGGCTTCCACCTCTCCTGGCCCTTCTCTCCATTCCAAATGTTACCAGCGCAATGACTTCCGAATGGACAGAATTCTTCTTCCAAGGCTGTGAGCCGCACATGACTTCATGATGCAATCAGCCTCTTCGCGATCCGCAGGACTTCAAGAATTCCAATGCGAGGATGCCTGGGAAATGGGACGACGATTGCGTGATGATATGCCGGGGCTGCATAGCATCATGGTGTTAGAATTAGAGGTGGACGGTGTAGCCAATCTGGTGGCAAAAACAGTATGTTGATACAATAAAAAGTACACAAACGTGGCTGTGCTGATCGGGGATAGACCTTTGGAAAGGAGTATTTCGAGTTGATCCATCAACTCGACCCTTTTGACGAGAGTCGAGCTTACGAACACATTCTCCTCAATTGCCCGTCCTCCAGGCTATCCTATTTTCCAACATATCATGGAGTAATACTAGACCTGACACGGGAGAAATATCCATTGACCGGCTGGAACGTCTTACCGCGTTGCATGATATCGGAATCCTTCACCGTGACATCTGTGACGAGCATTTTCGTATCCCCGATGATTTCTATGATACCGTTCTTTATGATTTCTCTCACTCGTACATAATCAGTTCTCCATAGCCATACGTCAAACGACCCAGACCCTTGCTAGCACTGATTCAACTCGAACAAATCCACGTTTTAAGCACTGTGCTCAGCCGGTTGGTCTCGCTTCGACCCTGGTGTCAATATGTGCTAATAGGTAGATAGTGCGAGGAGGTCAGAATTTCGCACTTACATGGCCGCGACACTGAGTCTAGACCCAACAATTGGTTCTGAACTTCTGCTCCCAGGAGCTCGAAAATGCACGGAACGATCTAGAACTAAGTTTCATATACTTGCACAGCTTGCCTACTACCATTCAACATGGATAGCGTACGCTCATTTGTGCAATGTACCTAGTATCAATATCACTCCTTGTCCCATTTATGCAGGCATTCTGACAGAGATTGCCGCCACGAAGTTAGAAAGGCTACATTTCTCTGCTCGCGAACCAAACACGAGGTGTCCAAGGCAGCTATTAGACCTGCATCGCTGAATCAAGTGATGAATTTTGAGTGTCTGGGTACAGTACCCATCGAGAGGCATTCCTCAAAAGCTACCTCGTAGTGAACAGAATCTCGTGTGAGATCCCCCTTTCTTTGAGTTCTATTCTTACTATATCTTCTTCTCAAATGAGTGCTATTTTTGTTGTTGGGGTGTTCTTTTTTTTTCATGTGTCATTCCACTACAATGTTCACCCAAACTTACTCCATACTTAGTGAGGGAGAAATATCTGTAACAACCTCGAAACAAAGCTAGCCTAACCTTATGCTTTCTGTAATTCAGACCACACAACTACACCACTCTACATGCACAAACTGCCTGCTTATGCCGTGGCGGGATTCCCTGGTGCACTTCCCATATTCCAGGTCAAGGCATGAGACGGACTATAAATACAGCTTGGTGCAGGGTTGGTTTTGGCGTGGCGGCTAAGTTAACCTATCCTATGGTGTGCAGTGCTGCTTCGACTGACCGCCGAGTCATCAGCATCATGTGTGAGATCGTATCGGACGTCCCTAATTTTTCCTGCTTCTCCGCCAATGAGGACCCTAAGCGAGGCAGCTCCCCTCAAGAAACGAAACTAGCACGGCCCGTCTCTATCAGGCTTTGACGCTTTTTGACCGATCCTTCTGAACACGAAGTAGGATTGGGTTCCCGCTCTTGTAGTGCTGGATTTTTCGAAACAGCTCAATTGGATGTCATCGGATGCCGCGACTCCCTGTGGTGAGATTTATACGGCTAACGCAGACACACTCGTCCAGACACTCTGGAGAAGTAAAATGCAAGTTGATACAGTGTGTCCACAAAGAGATATCCTTCTCGGCGCTCAAAGTGTGACGAGCTATAAATCGAACTTGTGATCCAGTCGTCCCAGGCCGACCTTTCCAGCAGATATAAGTGTTCAACACGTTACTCTTCAATTGCTATAGTATTACACTATTTCCGAGTCAAACCCCCTTGCTTTACAATGTCTTCGTCAGACCTGAAGGTTAATGGCCTCTACATCCTCTTATTCATCCGGAGTCATCCGCCTGTTTCCAATAATTTCCATTGGGGTCTCTACTTTCACCGCAACCCCGACACTGGAGGAACCAAATATCACATCAAACAGCAAGGCAGTGGCTGGATTGCTGCCCATGGACCTACTGCCGGCGTCTTCAAGTCTTTCCTTCTCGTGGGACTTTTCAGGATAGCTGATATTCCCGCGGGATTGGAAAGCCACCTGGACAAGACCATGAAAGCTTACGACAACCGCCTGAATTCGCCTGGAATCACCTGTCGTGTCTGGGTCCTCTGGGTCTTGGCTCTCCTACAAAAGCCAATATCTGGAAAAGTGATCCTTAGATGTGACAATCTGCACAGTCTCGAAGCCGAGGCTAAAGACTGGGGCAACGCCAATGCGGCTGGTGCAGCGAGGAATGATCAGCCAAGGCCATTGGCAACTTCTACTCTATGTGGGCTTTGAATGCGGGTCATTCTTTCATTATTTTATGGTATGGCGGGACATCTCCTCTTCTTTACGGGAAGAGCAGTGGCTAACAGTTTCCTGTCAAAGCTGGACAGGCTGCAACGGTCCGAAGAGAATACCGCCCGTTGGGTCGGACTTCATGCGTTCTGGTGCACATCGAGTAGGCATTGTACTTGGTGGACATAGTTTCGAATCCTTGGATTGAACTTGGATCTTCCCGGTAACTGAGCCGAAACCTAAATCCTCGTCTCACTATTGTCCGGGTTGTCCCTGTTGGATTAAAGCCAAGATGGACCGGGAGTGTGTACACGAGCTAGAACTTGAGACTAGCATCGGCAATGAATCGATATCACAGTTCTTCTTCGACCTACTGGGGCTGTGAGGCATAAGCAGCGACACACGGGGCAGCTCTTCGACGCGAGAGTTTGATAACCTCAAGATACTAATCTCACGCTGAAAGTAAGATGGAATGAAAGTGTGGAAACAAGCGGATTGTTCACCAGTAATAAGAGGCACTAGTCAAACAAGTCAATGCCCTTTCACAATCCAATTCCCGCATGAAAGACTTTCCACCGAGTTCAACCACGAAATGGTACCACCAGAAGTCCTCCGGCGTGAATCTCAACGCTGTTGTGTATTCCCAATACTCAGGATACCAGCCTGCTGATTCCCAGTCTAGAAAGCCTGTGATGCGTCCCCCATGGACCATGATATTGTGGTGTTTCAAATCCCCGTGTGTAAAGACAATGCGATGGGGTAGTCCGTCCATTTTCCTAGCTCGATTCATCGCCTGGCGATAAGCCTCCTCGGACGAAAATCCGCCCGCCCAAGCAGGTTCTATCAAATAGTTGTTGAGTTCTTGCTCTGACTTGAATGGGCCGGCCAGGTGACTGGGGACCCGGACACTTCTAACCGGCGTTCCTACGATCGAGCAGATTTTGCTTTCGCCCCAAGGATTTTCCCAATTCCTTATACACGTCAAATATCGATCCAGCTGTCGAGCCACCGCCTCTTTCTCTTCGTCGCTTAGCGTATTGTAAATCTGACCCAGTTCCTTGCCCGGAACCCGCGTCATCAGGATTGAAACCGGCGCATGCGGACTGTCGGCATGCTCTCCGTAGCAGATAACCTTGGGCACAGGTAGGCCGGCTTGCCTGGCGACTTGCATGGCCAAAACCTCCTCAAGCCGAGTCCCATCCGACCATTTGAGGATGAGCCCGAACGGAAGCTGGGCGATCTGATTATCGTAGGCGACCCCGACCCAGCTGCAATATGATTGGGAAAACCGTCGGAGGTATGTATGGATGATGCCCCAGGATCGACGGACACGTGGGTGAGTTACGCGAGGAATCGGTGGTAGTTGGTCGCTGAGAACTGTCGCCCTATGATCAGACCATATGAAATTTGGGAGTAGCAGGCGCGGAACTAGCCACTGCAGCATTTTGACTATATATTGCAGTCTGTCAGTGTGATGGCTACTAGAGGAATGTGTATTCAAAAGCCTGGGACCTTGGTTCTCGACCTGAGTTCATTGCTGGTATTTGTCTAGACAATGTCAACATGTCACGTGTGGAGGGGCGGTGTGACATATAGTTGCACAGGCAGTCTACGTTACCTATACCACCGGCATTGGTATTGGAGATACTTATATCTCTATCATGTTTGAAAAGGTCTAACACCGGTCGTATTATATCCGTAGATCTAAAGACGGTGTCAACGTTGCCTATAATTGTAGCTTCAATTAAGTAACCAAGGCTGTATCAGCTATCGATGGCTGTCATATCCGTTTATGCTCAATTGAGCTAGCGACTACGGAAAAGGTACCCTCTTGTTCCAAATCTACACGCACAAAGTGCCCATGGGCTTGCCTCGGATCGATCGATCATCAGAGCAGTTGACATCAACCTCCAGGTTAGCGCGATCGAAGTCACGGCGTTCATCGAGGATCAACTGGCGATAGAGTAACGCAAGCAATGACACCCATTGACGTCACATCTACGCCAGCCTTGGCAATCAATCATATCTGATAAATACAGACCATCTCCTGCAGCTCCCTCACCTTCCTCTAATAAATATCATCTCAAGAACATTAAAATCACTCAATTGAACCTACGTCTATCACAAATAAACCACAGTCACATCCATCACCAAAATGTCCAGCACCATCAACACCGCCGCCGGCAACAAGCCCCTCGACCCCTACACAGCCAAGTCCCACGAGGACCCCCCTCTGCCCCAGAAGGTCGAGGACCTCGTCACGTTCATCAGTAATTCCAAGTTCGGCATGCTCACCACCAAGTCCTCCGACGATGAGCTCCTCACATCCCGCTGCATGGCGCTCGCCGGCAAGGTACGCCTCCAAAACATCAATCACATGCCCCTTGCCCCACACCCCAGGCCTTTTCTATCGAGACTAACCCGGGACTTTCCGAATGCGCAGGAACACGGCGGCATCGACCTGGTCTTCCACACGAACCTCTTCTCGCACAAGACGATGGACCTGACCACCCACCCCAAGGAGGTCAACATGTCCTTCCTGGACCCGCTCAGCGGCTCCTGGGCCTCCATCTCCGGCACCGCCTCCATCATCTCCGACCGCGACACCGTCAAGAAGTACTACTCGCCCGCCCTGCAGGCCTGGCTGGGTGACCTGGGCGACGGCGTGCACGACGGTGGCCCCGAGGACCCCCGCATCGGCGTGATCAAGCTCGAGGCGGTGACCGCCCACTATGCGCTGGCTCGCAAGGGGATGCTCACCCGCGCCGTCGAGACCGTCAAGAGCGTGGCTACCGGGAACGTGCCGGCTATCAACAGCATCCGCGAGCTGTCGCGGGCGGAGCTGGAGGAGTGTAAGTTCTCCTGCTTTTCCTCTCACTTTTTCGTCATTGAACACCAGGTGGGTACTAATCGGGAATGATAGGGCGCCGTACGCACGCGAACGAGTAAATTCTCGCTGTTCGTTATTCGCTGAACCATAAGCCGTGACGAGTGGATTACCTATGATTTCATGACCCTGATGACACATGTGCGAAGTAGCATGTCACTAGTATCATATTTGTATTAAGTTGCAAAATGAAAGACACATTCTTCAAAGGAAGAAATTCCAGATATGTGGGGCGTAAGCAAAAAAGACTTGGTGCAGAACAAAAGCAAATCAAGTATGGCAATGCTATCGCACCAGATCATGCGAAGGGGCCGGTCCTAAAATTAGGAGTGCGTGTTGAGGGTATCACTAGCTTGGACTCCAATAGACGCCGTATAACAAAATAACCCCATCAAATCTATTCTCGCTGTTAGCGTTGCGCAGAGAGAGGTCTAGACACTACTTACTAATCGTAATGGCATCCGGGCCGGCACACGACCGTTGTGTAGCAACATGGCGATATTCTTATTGGGAGTCGCCTGTAGTTTGCGATAGGCTTCGCGAATATGCTTGGGTTCGACAGGGGTGCGGCCCTCCTCGGGGGGATCGAAAAGTCCGGTCTCGCGCTTACGTTTCTTGGAATCCTCGCCATTATCTGCGCCGCCACGACGGTTCTTCTCTCGATCCTCCCGTTCCTTTACCTTGAGGGCCTCCTCGGTCAGTGTTTGCACTATCTCGAAGGTCAGGAACCCGAGGATGTCGACAATATCATCGTTAGGTTTCGACTCCGTTACGATTCCGAACCCGGCCCACTCCCGGAATCGCTTGCTTTTGCGGTAAGTGAAGGACGCCTGACGGCATTCCGACCAGAACACATATTCTTCCCTCGTCATGTGCTTGGTGCGTTCGTCGGCAGCGGCAAGGCGCTGCAGGGTGGCGTAGTTCTGCTCTTCCTCTTCCTCGTCTTCTTCATCCTCGCGCTCGGGAACCTGCACGGAATAGAAGCTGTTCACGTCCCAAGCGAGACCGACACGGGCCCGCTTGTTCTTCGGCTTCGACGCAACGTCCTGGGGTCCAGCCACAACGCCTCCGGCGATGGGATCGTCGGCGGCGGCGAAGTCGGCCGCATCGGCACCGCCCTTGTCGTCTGAGTCTTTGACGTTCTTCCGAACGTCTTTCCATGAGAGGAAGGTTTTCAGGCGAGATACCTTGGCCTTATCGTGACGAATCAAAAATATCAGATCATCGGTCGAGATCGAGCGTACGCCGCGGCGGGTTGCTAGAGCGGTGCTTCTAGCAAGCTAGTAGGGATGTTAGTGTCATACACATATTTGAAAAAGCGAGGAAGGTATAGTACAATTTCGACAACTTGTTGGCGAACAATCTCCTCGATGAGAGTAGTCGTTTCAACCGAGGGTTCAGCAGTTTCCCCAGAGACGAACATCATCTGGCGCCAAGTGTTAGTCAAGCGATCTCTGAACTGCTCTTCGCTCTCGACATCCGCATCCTCCGGTTCATACTCCAAGCCAGGTGGAAATCCTCCTGGGAGAGCAAACATGCTGAGGGCTGAAGTATTGATAAAGTCTGGGAGCCGGAATAAGGTATAGATAGGAATCGGAATGATGTGTCAAGCGACATTGACAGGAACAGTGACATAAACTTGAGAGCAATCATGATGGACAGATGAGTTCAAGTAGAGGGGAATGGGAAGGATAGAGTGAATCGTCTCAGCATAAATTTGGCAAACGGATGCAAGTGACTATAGTAGTCCAGATCGACAGCAGTTGGTATGGGCTGCAGTGAATGGACTCGATAGCAATCTATGTGCAGCCTGGATCCAAAAGGGAACACAGTCTGAGACAAGCAATACAAACATGAATAAATGTGGATATGCGATAAGGAGATGTGCAGTTCAATCAATTGAGCGAATCCAATGGTGCTAACTGACACGCTTACCTGCTGGATCTCTTGACGATACTTCGGTGTCCGATCTGTAGACATCTTCGCGGAGACTTAAGGGCAGGTCGTCTGGTAATCCCAGACAGACCGCACTAGAACAAAACAGCAGACAAATGATCTCAAGACCCCAACAACCTAGAGGCTGATGAATAGAGCGTCCCTCAATAGGCAAACCCCAGGACATCCCGCGGAGGATGAAGGCACGTCACCTGACACGCGCGTGCTTCCCCGATTCACATATCCGGATCATCAGTTCCTCCGCCTTCCACCGCATTTGGCGGGGTGATAAGGGAAACTTTTACGCCGCAATCAACTTTCTCTTAAGAGCGAATTCACCCCATTGCACGATCACAATGCTTTATCTAGTGGGACTCGGCCTTGCCGATGAGACTGACATCACTGTCAGAGGTCTGGAGGTGGTCAAGAAGGCCGAGCGCGTTTACCTCGAAGCGTACACAAGCATCCTCCTTGTGGAGAAGGAGAAACTAGTGGGTGCCTCTGCGCGATCATACTTATAGCACATTGGCGCAGAATTGGCTGACTGGGAATCACTCATTTCAGTAGGAAGCTTTCTATGGACGTCCTGTTATTGTAGCGGACCGCGAATTGGTCGAGACTGGCAGCGATGACATCCTCGCTGAAGCCGACAAAGTCGATGTCGCTTTCCTGGTCGTGGGCGACCCCTTCGGGTATGTGCTTTCACAATCATATGTCAATTGATGGGGGAAATATGCATAAGGACTGACGGCCAGCTATTAGTGCTACAACACACACCGATCTAGTCCTACGCGCCCGTGAATTGGGCATCGAGTCCAAGGTCATCCCTAACGCATCGATCATGTCCGGTATCGGCTGCACCGGTTTGCAGCTGTACAACTTCGGACAGACCGTCAGCATGGTCTTCTTCACTGAGACCTGGAAGCCTTCGTCCTACTACGACCGTGTTAAGGAGAATGCTGGACTGGGTCTTCACACACTCGTCCTGTTGGATATCAAGGTCAAGGAGCAGTCCCTCGAGAACATGGCCCGTGGACGTCTGATCTACGAGCCTCCGCGCTTCATGACAGTCGCGCAGTGCGCCAGTCAGATGCTCGAGACGGAGGAGGAGCGCCAGGAGGAAGTCTGGACTCCCGACAGTCTGGCTGTCGGTGCCGCCCGCGTTGGAGCCCCTGACCAGAAGTTGGTTGCTGGTACTCTCAAGGAGCTGGCAGAAGTTGACATGGGTCGACCTCTTCACAGTCTGGTCCTGCTTGGCAAGAGGGCACATGATTTGGAGAAGGATTACATCAAACAATTCGCTGTGGACCAGGCGACCTTCGATGCTGCTTGGCAAAAAGGAGGCTACGGTACCATGTAGGGTACTGCTGCCGTGTAACGAATGATGTTGAACGAAATAGACATTTATCGCGCTGAATAAAAACAAGTGAGCCATGCGAAACGAGGTTTCCGAACACACCCAAAGCCAGCTTTGTGATGGAAATCAAGTCGATGGTAGATCATCGAGCGTAAGACGTCAAGAATCCCATCTCCCAGTACAGTCATTAGGCCGTTTTCCGGCCAAAAAATCTTGTCAGCCGCTGGGGAAGTCGTACCTGCATAACACAATCTCTGTTAGGGGCCATGACACCCAGCGAAATAACTTTGGTTCGAAACCTACCGTGGCTGATGAAGGAGTCGCTGGTGGCGTCTGATCGCTATCGTAATCTTCGCCATCCCCGTAAGATCCCTCGTCGTCGTCGTCCATACTATCCTCTTCGTCTGACAGAGGGAACCATCTCTCGGGATCGCCATTGTAGACAATATACCAACCGACCCGCTCTCCCGCAGCGTACTTGTCGCGCATCTCCGTGATAGCCTCTTCGGCGGCGGGATCCAACGGCGACTTGCTGAAGAGATCCTCCGGCGTCCAGCTTGTTTCGGAGCAAGGGACCCCAGCTTCGGGGATAGATATGACTTTCGCTGCGACGTAGGCGAAGGGCTTGCTGACAGCCGCATCACTCGTGTCTTCGGGGTCGTACTGCTCGATGAAGCGCATCTCCGGCAAGCGCTCGACGATACTGGACTCGGTCTTCTGGAAAGACTCGAGAAGAAGCTCGGTGGTGACTGGCTGCTGGATATACTCGGCGGTGGCGTCCTCGAGATTGTGCAAGACCACGTAGACGCGAATCCCCGTGAAGCCGGCGCGAGGCCAGCGGAAGCCGTAGAGCATGTAGACAGGCATGGTGGAAGGTGGGAAACCGCGGAATGGGCAGCGGAGGTGTTTCTGCAACGGTACTGGTTGTGTCGCGAGAAGACAATGCGCTTTCAATGGTTCTGATGAGTGGAACGAGGGTGCAACATCCCAGAGAGGTGAGGATGCAAGCTCATATTAAGGTGTGCAAGCAAGGTGCAGCGCACACTGCGCGGTTTCACAGGGTGGATATGCAGGTGAAGAGTGGTGAGTTTATCGGTCCAATTGGTGACCGGAGTGATATGCAGCTGGCGCTAAGTCCGATTTTTTGTTTTACTAAGCAGGGGTAACCAGGCTCACAAGGGCATCAATTGCCCATGGTACTAAGCAGTAGTTATATGGGGACTATATCGTGGTAAAAGTACTATATTGAAACAATGGACTTTACAAAATCTGGACTAGCATCAGCCTATGAAGTTCCCACTGTCGGCCTCAAATTAATCTCCAATCTTGGGCGGTGAGGCCCGGCAATATTGAGTCCGTCCCGCACTTCCTCGGGGACGCAAGCGGAGACTTGATAGATGTAACAGCTTGAGCTGCAGCATCAATTCATTCTTTCGAAGGACCTCCGCTTATCAAACTAGACAGGATGGTCCTATCATTTATTCTTGTTCAGAATCGCCAGTGAGCGCCCAGCTAACATCTCTCATCCAACGTAACTCAGGAGCTGACAGGAGACCGAACAGGGGGAAGACGCGGCTTGCCAAATGGTACGCTCCGTACAGTGTAAGTGTCCTGAACACTGCGGCAGCTGTCCTGGATCATCTACTAAAATACGCTTACTGCAGGACGAAGAGAAGGTCAAGCTGAAGGGCGAGGTAAGTCATATCAAAATGTCATAGCAGCTTGCCTCCGCATCCCACCTAGCGGCCGCTGAGCGACAGCTTACCAACCATTGCTGAATGCAGGTCCATCGCTTGGTAGCTCCGAGAGACCAGAAATACCAGTCGAATTTTGTTGAGTTCAAGCGGAGTACAAAGATCGTATACCGGCGATATGCGGGGTTGTTCTTCTGCGCCTGCGTCGACGCCACTGATAATGAGCTGGCCTATCTGGAGGCTATCCACTTTTTCGTCGAGGTTCTGGACCAATTCTTCGGAAACGTCTGTGAGCTAGATTTGGTGTTCAACTTCTACAAGGTGCGTGCGTGCGCCGTCAGCTATAGCTTGGGGGTTGAACCTGGGCATGGAGGGAGGGCAAGCTGGTGGAAGCGGTCGTGCCTCTGGCTCGTCAGAGAATCAAACACGGCTAACGGAATCTCATACAGGTATATGCCATTCTGGACGAGGTGTTTCTTGCGGGCGAAATTGAGGAGACGAGCAAGCAGGTCGTGCTCACGAGGTTGGAACACTTGGACAAACTGGAGTGAGGAGAAAGCAGTATTGAGAAGGGTGGACTGCAAGAGGGTGCGGAGGCAGTTGAAATCTTGCTCCATCCCTGTGCGGCTTCGATTTGGCTTCAGTTGCATATATGACCACGGGCTATGGTCATCATAGGAGTTAGGGCTTTCTTGGATCTGGTTCTTTGTTGCGGGTTTTTTTTCCTCCTGCACTGTTACATACCTCTAGCGCTCGTCTGAAACTTCCTCATGGCGGTATCTAATGTACAAATTCTGATTCCTTACGCAAAAGCATGTCTCGTGTTTTTGTGGCCGATAAAAGACATGTAGCACATGCAGCGCCCTTAGTGTATTCCTTTTATCTTTGTAACCAGTTTCAGGGCCATTTTCAGGGTCTCCAGCGGAGCTTTCAGGGTTCCGACCTGCATTATTGAAAAAAACGAGGTCAAAATTGGCGAGGTCAGTTAAACGGTTGCTGCCTGGGGTTTCAACAGCCGAGAACGACTGCCGTGATGCTCGACAGGCGGATCATCCGAGACATCTCACAGCTGACACCGGACCACTCACTGCGCCATGCCAGCAGCGCAATTAAGCTTATCTGATTGTCTCAGATCTAAGGGCAGGTTCACTTCAATCCCTTGACGGCACCAGCGCTATCAATTTCAAGCAAAAAGGGGGGGTTAGCTTACTGTTTTTCAAATGAGGTGATCGTGGGGATCGATTGCGAGCAACTCCCCGGCGATGGTGACATGCTCTTGGCAAGGTATACTTAATGAGCCCTACCCTTCAGGTACGACGGACTCGAGTTCGATTTTGTTCGACTTGATGCAGCATCGAACTGGAAACGCCGTGCCAAATTTCTTCATGGCTGTCTTTCGAATCAGGCCGTCTACCAACAGTGTAGCATGGCACACCTGACAATAGAGCCGGCCTTCCTTGTCGGAACACCATGCCCTCGTCCCTTCTGTCACATGTCTTTACGGGCTCTTTTTCACCCCTTTGATGACCAGACTTGACCCAGCAAGCGCTC